ATTAGTAAAATATTAATTCAAACCCATATTTTCACACATGATCACACATACAAACCATTCTTACATAGATAACAATATACATATTTATGTTTGTATGTGTATATAAATTGCAACTAGGTAATAATACGAATACATACATAAGGGACAGATATTTAGTGCATTTACGTACAAACCTGACTCTGTAGAGAGACGTATTAGTTAGAGTCTACCCTAAAACTAGTTCCACGGACAAGCCTAACTAGGCACGCAACTGATTTTTTCACGTTTCCATTTTACAAAATCTTATCAGTTCTATACTAGTTTAAAAAGGAGGAAAGATTACTAGTTCGGCCATGTTATCGAACGAAACGAGATTGTTAATGTTACTGTAACTGCACAAACCCATCGTTAACTTTAATTTTAAAATGGCCGCTTGCTATAACAGTACTCTTCAATTTTAATGTTTGACATATTTTTTTTAGCGATTTAGCATCAGTGGCAGCATTTAGTTTAGAATAAAACCAAAAAAAAAAATTATTTTGACAACTGCTTTACCAGTAACTTCTCCTAACAATGCAACCGAATCGATAGAATTTTTTCGATTAACGTAAAATTATCGTTACGATGCAACCTTGGTTGAACGTAATTAGGTCGTAAAACCAAGAAAACGTCGGATGATTCAAGAAATCAAAACATCTGTCTAATTATTATCAGGATGAAAATATTTCGAATTTGTTTAAAGCATAATTTTCATCCTTTAATTAAAATAAATAAATTTTCATCCTTTAATTAAAATAAATAGTTATGTGATTGATAAAGTTTGGTATTTCTCGTACTAGTACAATTCCAGTTAGTGTTTTTTCGTCCTAGATTAGTATTTCTCCTCACCAGCTTATGATCTGATTGCAGAGCACTTATGGAAACATTCATATGCCGAAATAGTCTGTGGTAACAAATCGATTCCAAATTGTTGCAAATGGCATCTCATTTGTTAGCAGTACCGCAGGACACGTATCATATTATGGATGAACAATTTTTCTTAGTATCACTTCGGCTGGGGGTGGATATGTCAAATGTGAAACAAACGTATCCCAATAAAATAATGATGAATGAGAACTACAATAAATCGGCTACATACGTGTACTTACATGTATATAAATCTATGAATATATTGTGTAGAGTGCGGCCGCTGTAGCCGAGTGGTACTGACATTCGGAAGGCTCGGGTTCGAATCCCGATGCCACCAACACCCAAAAGCTATGGAAAATTATTTAAATAAAAAACTAAGCTAAAACTAAGCTATATATATATATATATATATTGTGAAGATACAACTGCAATTTTAACGTCACTAATTTTTTAAACCAATTTAAGTTGAAAATGGTTTTTTATTACATTATTTCATGTAGTTTATATGTATATATTCATATATATTGGTAATGAATAAGTTAATATCTGCACCCCAAACCACTACCATACTTTAATCCCGACCGACAAGCCGGCACTAATCGTAAAATACTTCATTACTAAATCACTTCTGCTAAATTTTTAGTTTAAATCGGATATTGCAAGTCTCTGAGAATTCCTTTCTCATAATCTTTCCCCAGCCAAATAATTTCCATAGCGGAGAGTAGCCAAGTATCAAAACAAGGGAGACCTGCTGAGGTGACCGTAAGCTGTTAGCAAAGGAAAACAATAACCATTTCGAAGGGTCAACTACAGAATGTTGCTGGAAATATTATGTGCATGTATGTGTATGCTTACGATAAGTGCACACCAGTAATCCCTTCGACATTCTCAGCTTAGTTCAGCTTATGTTGGCCATATAAGAGTGCTTACATCATACAGTATTTTTCCTCTAATCCAAAAAGCTCCTAACGGTTGACAACTTGAAAATCTATTATCAAAACGTGAGAAGTGTGATACTAAACTGAAAGACTTGTATTTATGCAGCTTAAACTGCGCCCATATAATCTTCGTTTTCTCTGAATCTTGACTTTAGGGGTAAAGCCACTCTAGTGGTTGAAATATAGATTAATTTGTTTGAATTCATTGTAGGAATATGGGAATATTTAGAAGGAATACAAGGTTGAACCATTTCCTTGAAGTAGAAAAAAATATTCTTATAATTATTATTTGTTACAAAATGGCGGTGATAAAGTCCATTATTCAATCCATATGTTTTTGAAAAGCCTTCATGGGAGGACCGGTTTCTTTTGAAGGATGAGACCTAGAACAGAAAAGCAAAGAGTTTTATGGTCTGCAAAGTATAGTCTTTGGAAGTACGTACCGGTTAGTTTTTTAACTAATTTTTACAAGATTGATTTTTGACTAAAAAATACGCACTGAATTATAAAAAAAAATGTTGACATTAAATGGAAAAAACGGCTACGTACTTACTTTCAAATTTCCAGAAAAATATTTGAAATAAGGTCCGAATAATCTGTCTCTTAGTTTGAAAAACGAGATTTTGAGAAAAACGTTGTTAAAGTTGTCATTGTACTCAGCGCGCGCTCTGAGGGGCTGCAGCAAAATAAAAAGTTCAGCTATTTGAAATATTTTTTTCACTTTAAAACCAATTGCATATCATTTCTAGTTCCCAAAGGTACCCTGTGAGCAAAAAAAAGGATTTTCCAAAATCTTAGAGTGCCTTTACCCCTTAAACAAGTATCTTCAACTCCGAAATCTTACGCTTCTTTGAAGTTTTTGTGGTAGACTATTCTATCAAACTGATGTTGTTGCTGAATTAATTTATTTTACGAAATTAGAAGCATCTAATAATATGAACATTTATATTGTTGCCAGTCACAATTTATCTTGTGTATCATGGTGAGTTAATGACAGTTTACTAGTGATTAGCTCAATTTGAGATGATCATAGTTTCCTAAATAAGCTTTCTGGTCTGAGTCTTTTTCAAATAAATAACTTCCATAATAAGTTTGAGCAGACTTTGGGTATCAAATTTTTGGATGACAATGAAATTAGGAATTATGTAAATTATCTTTAGATATTCCTTCCAACTCTAATTGGTTGCACGTTCCCAGCCAATGCATCATGCAAATGTGGAGGAAAGCGTTTCTCACTTCTCATGTGTTTTACATTTTGCGTCCAGAAAGTTTGTTCTGTAACAACTGAACCGAAAGCCCAGTAAAAGTAATTTTAAAAAAACATTGTACGTCACGTGAAGCATCATCAACATTTGGTGTTCCTTAAGGCAGTCACTTCGGGCCCTTACTATTCCTTATAATAATGAGTGACCATCGAAATGTGATTTTTCACATGACAGATGATGCCCAGCTCTTTAAATTAGTTTTTTTTTTGTTGCAGATGGAAACCTTTGCAATCTGACCTACATAATTTATCGTCGATTTAGGTATCACAATTAATCCTAGGCTAGATTTTATAAATTTAAAAAATTCTTATGCTTTCATAAAACTTGTGGATAAGGAGATTAATGTATGGGTCATTGCTCTCTATCCCACTTTTTAGACCTATTTTGGAATATGGCTCAGTTGTAGGGAGTAGTCCGCACTATCAATTGTATAAGTGATAAGTTGGAATCTGTAGCGAAATGGGATGCGAAATACAACAATCGTTTACGACCCATTAATCTGCCTACACTCCATAGTTGTATAAAATACTTGTAGTTTTATTTTTAACTAAAGAGATGATGAATTTACAGATGTTTTTAGATGTTTTTACAATGATTTTAGTAATCATTCCGCCCACCTTGACTTTTGTTACTCGTTTTTCTGTATCGAAACCTACTTACAAAGAGCCTTAAATAATTAAACATGAACACTATGGTTGCGAGTTTTTGGTTCTGAACACAGCCAGGTAGCTTTGTGATTTTCTTGTGCTGGAATCTAGAACTGTAGACAACCATATTTAGGGCACCGGCGAATTCGGTCAGCCTCAGTACATTTCGTGGTGGAATTTTGCCATCGTGGCGGGGGCAGCGTTTATAAGTAAGCTCCAGGCGCTCACACAAGAAATTCTTGGTCACATTTAAACAACATATTGCTACATGAAAGGTGTCTGTAGTTGATACAACACCATAAACGTAAAATACCCAATCAAATAAAATACATGTTCTTACATATTTCAAGAAATAGTGCGCTGATTAAACTTATTAGCACTCATTTGCATCTTAAATATCTGCCAAATATGTGTTATGACGGCATGTTTAATTCGTTAAATCAAAATTGTACCCTTGGACTGCTTAATTAAGCAGGAGATGGTAAGGTTCTGTGGACCCCACTTTTACTCTACTAAGTCCGTTCTTCCCTCTACTATAAGAGAGATAAAATCATAAAAGCTTTAGACAATTGAATACTGAAATTAAATTCTGAAATCTGCCAAATTAAAAATGTATTCGTAGGATTTTATTTTTATATTCATACATACATACTACGTACATAAATAATATAAATGTACATACGTGTATGTACATGTGCATTTAAATTGGTATAAGCTCAATATTTTTGTGTGGCGGCGACGAAAGAGTTAAATAACTCTTAAATAAAAAAATTGAAACAGCCGCATTTGACGGGGGTATAAGTATTTCAATGTATATATTTATGTATGCATGGTCCAGCGAATCGACGGTCAGGACTATTAATAAAAATCGCAAGCGAGACGTGCGCAAAATAGCTCTATGACGCCTTCGCAGCGACCTCCCGTCTTTTTGGTTATAAAAACAAAGAAGCATTTAAATAGACACCAAATTGTTTAAACAAAATATTTAAAAATAAGATCAATGTATCTGACTTTAAATATTTGCACACACTCGCAATCTTATACATAGAATATAAATATATACGTGTACATTACGTTTTGTATGGCTATAAATCTTGGAAATATTGAATAAAATTACATAATTTTAAGAAACAATCGTACATAGAATGAATACATATTTTTATATACAATACATATGTAATTGTATGTACTTTACAATAACATACAATTTGCTTTTTTTTTAGAAACAAAAACAATAATTTTGCTTTTTCCTTCATACAAACCTTCTGCACAACCAGCGGCGTGGCAAAGTCAACGCCACCCTGCAACCGAAAGCCCCAAGGTTGGGCGTCGAAACGCGACAATTTGATTTGTAGTAATTGCGGTTGAGCCATTTATGTTCCTCCCTTTTCCTCAGTTTGGTCTGTAATGACAGAGGACAAGGTTATTTAATACATAAACTGAAGAATGAATACTATTTATGTGTTTATACGTGTATGTACAATGCATATGTATGTATGCAAATTTGTAGGAGGTAAACAATGTAAAACGAATTAACTCAGAAATCATAAAATGTAAAATGAATTCGCTGCCGAAAATTTTTAAAACGAATTCATGAGCTTAGTCAAGGTCGCATGAAAAATTTTAGAATTTTTTGAAGATTTTCTTTCAATATCTAAAACATATAAGAAAAATGAAGAATTAATTTAATTTTTGGTACACCCACGACAAAATCGTCAAAGTGTGCTTATGAATTCGGATGTGTATGACCAATTGAGTTCTACTACAACCTTTTAAATTTGGCATATTAAATGACATTGCTTAGGCATTTACGCACCAAGATTCTACATATATAAAGCAGCGAATAGCCAAAAAAATTGTGATTCAGCTATCACCACCTATCTTATGAGGGCGCCATGCTAACGAGAAGTTACCACCACTTGCAGATCTCGCTACTGACGTTTGCCCCGTGGAAACCAGCGGCGATTTGATTTGTACTACATTTTATTGTAAATTTGTTTAAAAGAATGCAGCTGGCAGCATTTCCCCGCCGCAAGCGATGTCGATAACAATCGCGTGGCACGGTTGGGAGGTATGCAAAATGGATAGTTGGGCCATAAGTCAAGCGACGTTATGAATTTCCCCTACATATGACATATTAGCTTCGATTTTGAAAATCAACTTTTATCCTTGCTTGAATGTACATATGTATTTATTCTGTGAACAAGCAATGACCGTCTTATATTTAATAACGGTGAAGAGCCGAGCAACATACATATATGTATATACATGTGTTGACCTCGTATTATCCGCCTGTTTGTTTCATTGTCTTTAATTACATATAGAGATGTTTTAGAAAAAAAATCATATATTCTTTTTATAGAGTGTATGTACATACATATATACAGTTGTGTGAATTTCATAAATAGTTCATTTGATATAATGAGATTTTCTGGCTGTTTGGGCCATTAGATAGCAAACACAAGTTACTTCACCAAAACCGTGCTGAGGATTAAGGAATAACAACGCTCTTTGCATATTCTATTGCAGTATTGCTTGTTAAGGCGATCACAAATAAAATTTTATCGATCTCCATATCTACATGAAAGCTGGGAAATAAAATAATATTCAGAAAAAGTTGTTATTCTCCACTTCTGTCTTTGATCATGCCGAAGCTTTTCAAATTTTTCGAGAACGCCTTACATATAAGGAATTTAATTTTAGGATTGAAATAAGTATTAATTCTCATATCTCGAAAATTGAGGTACTAGCTTGCATACAGACATATGGACATGGCTAAATCAACCAAACTCGCCATTCAGATCATATCGGTGTACACACTTCGGACCAAAGTTATTATATCATTTCATGTACATAAAAAGCATAAAACTGGAATTCGGCCATAGAGTTTTTTGGCATTCATGGACTCTAATTAAATGTAGAGATATGCCGAAATCCTTCCAACATTTAAAGACATTTCCTATGCTCTAGTCAATTGAAAATGTGCTGCTTTTCTCAGCTCCCATACTGAATATTATCTTGACAATAACCGGTGAGCGAACGTATTACGCTATTGTGTCCTATTAGTCATGTGTTTGGGATTTTTCTGTAAAAAATTTATGCTTAGTTTATGTAATGTTCTAGCAAAATGGTGATAAAAGCACAACATAAATTGAACAAGAAAATAATTTTGAAGAAAAAAATCGTTTGGGTCTCAGAGTGGCTACAAGAATGAAGTAAATATGTTGATTTGAGCGAATTTTGTGATATTAAAAGGCAAAATTTTATTTTTAAAAATTAAGTGCGAACGAATGAGGATAGCTCTGATGAATTAGTTAAGATAACGAGGCTTTTCGAAAATATTCGAAAGATATTCCAGTATGCCAGCGTTTAGCTAACGGCGACAGGTATAAAAATCTTTCGCATAGCTCTAATCACAACATCCAAGTTTATTCTTGAAGATTGTAAGATTCTTTATGAAGTTCTCAAACCCGGACCGAACTTGCTACGCATTTCAAATTTTTACCGAACTTTGCCTAGAGCATTGGAGAAGTTGGCGGAAAACATATCGGAATGAAAATGTTGTACTTATGGCTTTTATTGATGCTGAACACAATTTCTAATGCTTCTTGCAACATGTTTCGGATAACGATGCTCTGAATCTGCCTGCACCGCTGGTCATTTGCCCGGTCGTGAAACCATTTCATGGTCGAAGAAGCATTTAGAATACAAACTCATTTGTTGAAAACATATCAACTGTAAACTATCGAGAGCTGGAAGAATGTTGGAGAATGTATTTGAGATTGTGACAAAGCTCTTCGGAGTGATCCCTCGTCCACTAAAACGAATGCAAATGGAACTTCGCGTTTGAATTTGCTTTCTTCTTTACATCATAATATTTTAGTTTCGAAAAATGACAAAAATGTACAGCATCATTGGTCGACGGCTATGATGAGCATGGTAAACTTATTGTTGGAGCACATGTAAATGATTCTCCATCCTAATATCTCAAAGAAATTACTTTGTTTTTATTTCGTCGCCGCGTTATCAAAACGAATTTGGTACATTGCAACCCCACCCACACATACATATTTTATAAATTATAAATTATAAATTTATTTCTGTTCCAGTCGGATGGTGTAGCTGGGAGGTATGTTAAATGGATGGTGGGCAATATCATTATGTGAGTAAAACCGTACATAAAAAAATTTATAATGTAATGTCGTTGATAAGCCATTATATTGAATGGCAGTTATGACATTGTTTTCTACGCAGACCTCAACTTTTTCAGTATTTTGTAGGATATCCCTAAGTGCTTATTAGTGATCTCAGCCTTTTAGGCATTGAAGGCACCAATTTTTTGGTGAGCTCGCTGCTATTGCGCCTCGTTTGAAATAGTTCAAGCTCATACCAAAGATGCTCAATCGGGCTTTAATCAGGGCTTTAAGCTGGAGTAGGAAACATACGAGCATTGTAAAACAACCACATTTGAACTTTGCAAGCAGTGTGCGTAGGGTCATTGTCATACTGAAACAAGAAGTCTTCTTGTAACCCTATCCTAAGAGCACTTTGCTTCATGTAATTTCCTAGAATATCTTAATACGAATTCTGGTCCTTGCCTGCAACCCCACACCATAACTCCACCGCCTCCGTATTTAATGGTTTTCAACCGTATTCTTTACGTCAAATATGCAATACTAAGACTCATCCCAAAACCCCAGAGGCTTGTTTTTGCGATTGTAATACGCTTTTCTTTATTTGTATTATTCAAAAGCGTCTTCTTTCTTGGTGCTCTAGATGAAAACCCATTCTCTACGACTGCTCCTCTCAAATTTTTGTTTGGCAAGATCAACACTGATTTTTCTGCAGCTTACAAGTTTGGGCTGGCGGCCAATCCTGGATGCATTTCAACTCTATTCACTCACTGTTTTATCGGTTAACTACTTTTTGTACTGATGACCGACTACGCGACACATCCTCCGAATTTGTGAATAAGATTTCCCTTACCGTACATGTAGGTCAATTATGATTTCCCTCTCTCTAATTGTCAGCTCTCTTCGGCCTATAATTTCTTTTATTTTTATTTGACTTTTAACACAAAAAACACTCAACGAGCTAGAAATTAAAAATAGAAGCACCTTCTGATTAATAGTAATAATATTGAATTGTGGGATTCTCCTTTTTACTAGTACAAGCCCATTTAAATCATCTGTACCAAGACTTTTGTGGAACGTAAGTTAAGAGTAGCACGAAAACGTAAGCTTCCCTCTCTCTGGCCACAGTTACCAAAATGTAAAATTTTATAAAAATTAAGAGTTGCTTTTACTAGTCATAATACCGTTTTCGTTTTTAGCGTTTTGATGAAAAACAGCAAAGAAGTACAATTCACAAATACTAATTCACTGTACCTTCAGTTTTGTGGAAGACTGTACATAAATAAATAAGTAAGTTTGAGTTAATGAACAAAACATCTTGAATGTGCAAATAAATATTGTTTCGAGATCAGGGCAAAAACAAAAAATTAGAAGAGAAAGTCTCTTTATGGTGAGTGCTGCTTACGCCAGGGGTTCATCTTCAAGGAAAGGTCGAGCCACAGTTCTGTCGTAGGTACCTATTTTCAGGAAGCATATTTTTAGCCCGGTTTTTAAATTATTTTGGCTTGTATTAGCTTCTAACAAATTATTTCAGTAGGAACTATTATTTTCCTTTAATTTTAATTTACTCAATTTGTCAGAAATGTACCCTTTATTATCGTTGGTGTCGTCCATGATGTAAGCATTACGAGATGTGAACAGTAGACTGAGAACACTTTTTCGAAAATTTTGTCTAAATTACAGTAAATATGTAGCTATTGATCCCATTGAATTGAATCTGCCGACGACTAGTATAAAATTTTCCAAGTATACTTATATTTTCTTATGACATTGCTGCACATGTTACGACGGAGTAGGAAATGTCTTCAAATACGATTTTGCTTTAAAGACGATTTTCCTATTTTATTTTTTTCTTTTTTATTCGTTTAATTTAAATTTTTCATAGCAAATCAATAACGACACTACTATTTAAAATGTATCAGATTCAAAAAATTTGGAATAAAAAGACAAATAAAAACAAGGAGTACAGTAATGCAACAGATCGTGGACGACACAGCCAATAACACTTTGTCCACTGGAAGGGGCTATGGCAAATTTGCTACAGTTTAGCACATCCAGAAGGTCTTGTACAGTCTAACTGCTGCAGAAAACTTTGCGAAATGTAAGTTTGGGACGATTCATTAAAAAAGAGGAATATGAAATGGATCCAGCTGAGTCCATTAGATTTGCGACGCGATGAAGAAGAGCAAGCCACAACTTTGGCAACAGCCAGCAAATGAGACAACGAATCGTCTAATCGTTTGAGCTTGGGTAAGTAAAAAATAACGGT